CGCTGCCGCCGCCACCGCCACCGCCACCATGGTGAGTATTGGGGCTTCAAACGGGGTTCAGCCACACTCGCGGCCCTCAAGGCTTCGTTGGTTACGCTGAGGTTTAAAACCCGGTCTGAGGCCGTTCCGCTTCCCTCCGTATTTCGAGGTTTTGGTGCTCTGGCCCTGGCCTTGCGGACGTTTCGGGAGGGGAGGACGAGGTTGAGGACACGGAACCTCCCAGAACTGTGCGGCCGCGCCGCAGTCGCGTCTCGTCTCTCCTGTCCTTATGAATTGATAACAGAACGAAAACCAGCCCGGGAGCTACCCGTATACAGAGCCCTTAGTGAGTTCCGAGTGCTGCGCGTCGTCAGCCCGCTAGGAGCCTCGTGAACAGGGGTGCTGTTACTATCAACGCCTTACTGATGAGCGAACTCGAGGTGCAGACAGGTGAAGCCTCTTGCCCGGCTGCTACTTGGCAGCCCCCTCCTTCCTCCGGTTCTGCCAGCCACTGCTCCCAGCAGAGACGGTCCAGCAGGTGCTCAGCCTAGGGCTCCCAGGTATGAGGGGCCCTTCAGGAAACTGCTGGAAGGATGAGCAGAATGAACCTCTGAGATTAGCGACTTCTCTTTTTTAACTCTCTGTGGCATCCACGCTATGCTTTCACGCCCTACTCTCTCATTGAGGGAATGAATGAGAAGGAAGACATGAGCGTGTCTGGACTGAGCCTGGCACGATCTAGTAAATTCATGCTTTAGGAAGACGGGTGTGCCTCAGCAGCAGGTTTGAGGGAGCCCGCGGGAACCCAGAAATCAGAACACTGGGTTTCCTTCTTGCTCTGCTGGGGTGGGAAATCAGGTGTTAAATCTTGAACCTGTTTTGGCCTCTGGTTCATCAGCTGCTAAACAGAATTGGGACTTACGCGCTGGCATTCTGCTCATTCTAAATGATTTTTAACTGGTTGTGAAGGGGTAGGTTGTCTTGAGTGAGGCCTCTTACTACTTAATAAGCACCAGACAACTCCAGGTTCTTCGGGAGAAAGCTTTAAGACATATACACTCCTGTTCAGAAGCGTGGCTCACCAACCTTGGCTGGTGGGTAAGGGTGGTTAGAGATAAATGCTGGTTGTCTCCACCATCCTCTATAACCTGCTATAAAACTACATCTCAGTAAACTTTTTTTTTTCCAGAATCTCATCCCTCAGCCATTGAATTTAGGGGATTTTGATGTAACAACTAATTTTCGTTCTAATTAGGGAGCCTGGTGGAGTGGAAAGCTTTGCGGGCTGAGACTTAAAAAGAGGATGGCGGGGAACCAGCAGTTGGCATAATGACTGTGTCGCTGGACTCCCACGTAGTCAACCGCGGTTCGCGTCCCGGACCCAGTGGCTTAAAACTCACGCCGGGCACATGTGTGTGCGTGCCCAAGATCCCGAGAGGAGAATGGAGGAGAAGGGATTGCGGCGTGACTATCCCCCCTGGGGGGTGATTTCTCACTTTCTGTCTCTCTGTCTCTCTCTGTCTGGCGAGCGCACGCGCCCTATAGCGAAAAAAAAAAAAAAACTCTCAAGAGGGTGGCGTTCATTTCCCATCTCTGCCTTTAACTAGCTCTGTGATTTTAGCAAGTGCTCTCACTTCTCTGGGCTTCTTGATTTCTTTAGTCTGTCGAGTGGCCCTGATTGACTCTGCCCACAATACCACGCAACGCACAGGTGAAAGCCCTTTGTAACCTATATTGCTCGGCGCAAGGAGATTCCCTTATCCTCTCGCCTTTGTAGACCTTGGGGGCCACCTGTTCAGTTCATTCAGCAGATGGTCACAGAGCTCCTCCTGTTTGTAAGATTGTGCTGGATATGAGGGGTTTGGAAGTGCACCTGACTCAGCTCCAGGGAGTTCACCTTCTAGTGCAGAGAAGAATCTGCAGACAGTGTTGTGGCAGAAGGAACCAGGGTGGGAACCAGGTCTAGGATTTAATGAGAAAACCTGCTCCCAGCAGAGATGGTCCCAGCTTGATGGGTACCTTCTGGACAACGTTGCAGCCACCCTTTAATAGTGTCCACCTTTCTAAAAAGTCAAGTCAGACTATACCTGCAGGGTTTGTGCTGGAAAGGGTGAAACATGGGAAATGGCAAAAAAAAATGTCAGTTCCAGACAGAAACCTTAGAGAAGAGTAATTGAGCAAAAGAAAAAAATGTCAGTTTTGTGCAGTTTATTCATTCAGCAGATGGTCACAGAGCTCCTGTTTGTAAGATTGTACTGGGTATGAGGGGGTTTGAAACTGCACCTGGCTCCGCTCCAGGGAGTTCACCTTCTAATGCAGAGAAGAAACTGCAGATAGTGTTGTAGACATGCAGGAGTCCAGTTGGAGATCTTAGAATCTTCGATAAAAGGGGAGGAACATGTGGGGCGGACCTCAAAGAATGGGTAGGAAGAAGATCGTGATAACTTTGTCCCAGCCCTACAAACCGTGTGACCCTGGATCCCACTAGGTGACAGTCCAGGGTCGGTCACGAGTGGTGGACCAGCGAGCAGCCTCAGGAGAAACGTGAACCAAGTCTCGAGGTCTTAGCTAATAACCCTGCTATGTGTAGACTGCCTGAACCATTAGAAGCTCCGTCATCCAGTTCCCTCTGGGTCCTTCATCATCCTTGAGGGAAGCCAGGACTGCCTGACGCTCTCCCCCACACGTCGAGCTCTCTGAATCTGTGTTTTCTTGACACCTGCGTTGCTTGAACTCTGCTTTTTCTTTCTGTATCATCTGGCCGATTCTGTTGGGTCGTTGGAAAAGTCACGACGTGTTTTCCTATGCAAAAATGCATCCTAACTTTTAAGATGACCCAACCCTTACCATCTAAGGCCCAGTTCATGTCTACCACAACAACCTCCTCTAGGCACTTAGAACACATGTACACCACGATTAGAGGATCCATCCTGCCGTGTGCAGGTTATTTATGTGCCAGCTTCTCAACCTCTTTTTCATGTGTGTCTGCAGCCATGGTATAGTGCTTGGTAAAAGAAGGTACTTAGAACGACTGTTTACTGAATGCACGAATAAGTACTTGCGGTCAAGAACTTTAGAAACAGTTGGATTTGATGAGATGATTACATTCTAACAGCCATCCATCAATTTACTAGTGATCTTTATCTTTGGTTCTAGGTGTCAGTAATTAACACGGTGGACACCTCCCATGAGGACATGATTGTAAGTATTCATTTAGCCCTCCCTTGCGGGCTGTGGATGTAGGCATTTGTTTAAATTGTCCAAGAGCATGTGCACTCACCAGAGGGAGGGAGTAAGCACCCTTCCCCCTCCCCAAGTAAGAACAGACTTTCTTCAGTCTCCTCTCCTCCGTTTCTCCATCCTGTTGAGATCCCAGGGGCGCACACGCACCCAGCATGTTCCCCAAGCCACTAGGGCCAGTACTCAAGCCATGGTCGGCCCTGGGATTTGGTTCTCCCAACCAAATCCCACAGGGCTGACCTGACATGGGCATTTCTGTAGGAGGGAAGCAGTCTGGGTTTGTTGTTATCCCTTTCTGTGGATCATTCATAAGTCCAGATGGGGCTTTGCAGCAGTTGCCAGTCAGGCTGTAGCCTTGGGGAATGCTCAGTCTTGTAGCAGTGCCCTCCGACTTGGCGGGTCTGTGGCGTTCAGGTCACTGTGCTGAGGGGAACCAGGGAATGGTTTGTAGCTCAAGGCTGTCAGTCATCTGGCCAGCATCTTAACCTGCCCTGGGATGGAGGGTGAATTGGTGCCAAGGTTTGACAGTAATCTTCCTACCTGTCCTCCTCCTGCGGTCACTTCCTAGCCCCACTTAAAGTGGGGTCAAAGAAGAGAGGGTAGAATGAGATTCAGTACAAGGCAGAGTGCAGCCACAGTGAAAGCCCAAGGTGGAGCCAGATAGGACCACCACAGACCATAGGCCAGACGAGGCCCTTTGAACCAGAAGTCATTACTCAGGGCGTTTCCTGGGAGACAGACACGGGGCTCAGAATAAGACAGGGCTGCAGAAGAAGGTCCAGAGGTTAAAGTCTCCAGCAGGAAAAATGTAGACTTTGCTTCTTGTGGGGCCAGGTCAGTCGGCTTATGGCATTTCATGCCAGGGTTCCTGTCCTGGTAGCTTGTTCACCTGCAGTTGCGTTTGGGTTTCTGAGCGGTCACCCAGTCTCAGAATCGCATGTGTTCCCTGGGTTCGGTCATGAGTGGTCTAGCTGCAAGGCTGTGCCCCCTTAGAGACAGCGTGGTACCCTGGGCAAGAAAGATCCAATCTGAGACTTCCTGGCCAGTGTGAGGAGGATCTTCAAAATGTTCGTGTATTATGAAAAAACTATGCATGAATTTCAAAATAACCTGTACCTTAATTACATCATTTCATGAACTTTTAAAATTCCCCCTTAGCTTTTCTGAGCTAGCCTCAGTTTCCTCATAGGAAAAATCCCAGGCATGCTGCCTGCTTGCGTGGGTTTGTTTAATGAGCTCTTGAGGCAGAGCAGTAATGATGAACATTTGCCTGTTCACTAAGTGAATATCTCGTTTAATTTTTATAACCTTTGGAGCAGAAGTGATCATAGGCTCTTTTAAAGATGAAGAAACTGAAGCTCAAAGAGATCGGGTAATTTTCCAGAGGTTGCACAGCAGATCAGCTAAGGAGACGGGTGAACCTCTTAGGTGCTCTGCCCTGCGTCCTCCATGGTGTGATAGCACCCTGCAGCAGTGCTTCTTCACACCTGTGCTGCCTGCCTCCCAAGAGGCCAAGGCCCGGTGCAGTGAAGGAGGTTAACTTCCAAAGAAAAATGAAGATGTTTTCCTTGGTAGGGAGGTGAGAGAGGAATGCCAAGGCAGACAGAGTGAATGCTTCCTTCGAGAGGGTAGCAGTTGCTCCTGAGGACCACAGGAGTGACGACATAGTTGCCGAAACCCCAGGTGGGAGAGCTGAGGAAAGTGGCATCCAGTGGAATAGGCCGAGCCAGCAAGCAGAAGGAACCAGGGTGGGAACCAGGCCAGAGGAACCATTGCCCAGATGGACGAGGAACCCCAGGCGGAGGCCAGCGTGAAGGAATTCAGCTCTGAACAGTGAGGCCAGTGGCATCTAAGGTGGTGTTCCCGGGTGGGGAATCTGAGGTGCCAGGTACACTTCTAGGAGAAATGTCCCCAAAGGATCTGGAGCTCTGGATGGAGAAAGGAGCCTAGATCTCTGAATGGGACCCATGTCCAGGCCAGAGATGGACCACAGAGGACCTGACTAGAGCCTACAGGCAGTCAGAGGCTGCTCTTTTACCAGCTCTCAAGCCCCAGGCTTGGGTCCTGGGGCTGCAGCTGAACTTGGGGTATCTTTCCCAGTAGCCCAGGGACCCTAAGAACACATGGACAGGAAAGAAGAAGAAAAGGACAAAAAAAAAGAAAGAAAACAAAAAGCTAGGCCAGCTTTGTTCTCCCACCCCTACTGTACCGAATAGGACAGAAAGGAACCCTAAAGATGTCATGGGTCTGTAAAACCAGCAGGGTATGGCTGGCTTTGTCCCTTTCAGAAAGGCACTGCCTACCGGAGAAGCAAGAATGTTGACATGCTAGCCTCCTGCCTGCTGTGGTTCTTGGAGGTTAGATTAATTTCTGCTAGATTGTGGTCCAGACTAGACACTGGTGACTGCTCACCGCACCCTCGCCCACCCAACCTGCAGGCCTCTTTAGCTGTTTTCCTTTGCAGCATGATGCCCAGATGGACTACTATGGCACCCGCCTGGCAACCTGCTCATCAGACAGGTCCGTCAAAATCTTCGATGTGCGCAACGGAGGGCAGATCCTCATCGCTGACCTCAGGGGGTAAGTGTAGCCGCAAGCCCAGGGAAGATCTCCAGAAATGATTCGGATTCAGAGCCGACAGGTGGCATGGTGGTTGAGGTGCTGGACTTCCACATGGCTGACCATGTTTCGAGTCCTGAACCTGGCAGCCCAAAAATCACAACAAATGATGTTAAATCAATAAGTGTTTCTTTTTTTTTTTAAAGAGAGAATGGTTTGGCTTCTCAAGCCTTGCCATAAGCATAGAGGACAGGGCGAGAGCCCAAATCCAGAGCAGCCCAAGTGCATTTGGCAGCGAGGACGTCTGGACTCCAGCCAGCCTGGCCATTGTCAGCAGACATCCCCAGGGACGAGGGCACTACTAGTGGATCCAGAGGTGACTCCCAGCTCTTCCCCCATTAGAAGACCCTGGGCTGTGAGGCAGTTGACCTCCACAGCCTTCATGTGCCCGTCCTCCAAATGGGGCTAGTACTGGGTAGTCTACTCCAAGGTCCTGACACAGTGCCTAGCAGTTAGGAAGCCCTCCATGCAGGCCACCGCTGCTGTGCGCGGTGCTACCAAAGTGTCACTCAAGCATTACTGTAAGAGTAATGCAAGAACGTGATAGTAGTTTTATAAATTCCATTGTTCCACTTGTTTGCCCATGGCAGGTGTTCAGTGAAAGCTTACAGAATCAATTCTCTTCCTACCTTAGTAGGAATCTTTGAGGGGGGCTGGCAGGTAGCGTGGTGGTTAAGGATGCTGGACTCCCACATGGCAGACCGCAATTCGAGTCCTGAACCTGGCGACTTTCTCTCCCTCTCTGTCCCTCTCTGGTTAAATTTAAATAAATAAATAAATAAAGTTAAATAATTCTTTTTTTTTTTTTTTAAAGATCTTTAAGGAAATGTTGGGTCATTTTTATGGCCACGTGAAACTCCACTGCTTTTCCTCAGTTTCCTGCCTTTCACCGAGTTGTGGCTTCTTAGCCTGGGTTCCACGGGTTGCCAGGATTCTGCAGATAGACTTCAGGGGCTGGGGAATGAGATGGGGGAAGAACAGTTGCATCTTTATTGTCGGTGACTCTGCTGCTTAGCTTTCCTTCAAGTATGGATATAGGCCAGAAACACTACTATACACAGCAGTGGGTAGTACCTGTCACTCTGTCACCAGCAGCAGTCACAGGTATTTTCACCTCACCTGATAGTGTTGTCGCTCTCTGAAATTATAGTGGTTATTAGACCTACCCGTAGAATTTGCTGTGTGTTAACTGGGAAGTTCATGCATCACTAGCTCATAAGTGTTTTTTTATTTTATTATTTATTATTTTAACATTTCTTAAATTTATACATAATCACTGTGCATTTCTTTTATCATCAACAGATCACTTTTCTTTTTTGTGTCTATTAAATGTTTGGTTTCTTTGAGTTTTTTTTTTTTTTTTTTTGCAAATTCCCTCCCTCTCACCCTCTATTGCCCACCCCCTCCTCTACTATCTTTACTCTCTACAGTTGCCCTCCCTGCTATTGTACCTTCCAGTCCTTCGGTTTTCTTTCTGTGCAGTACAGACATTCAGTGTGTGTGTGTGTGTGTGTGTGTGTGTGTGTGTGTGTTTGAAAGGTTTTTGCCATAGGGCATGTGCACTCACTGGAGGGAGACAGAGACAGTGAAAGGGAAAGTTAGAAATCACTCCCAGGGAATGGCCACGCCACAGTCCCTTCTCCATTCTCCAGGGGATTTGGGGCACACTCACGCACATGCGCCCAGCATGGTTTTCAAGTCCAGGGCTCTAACCGCAGTCAGCCATGTGGGAGTCCCGCACCTTAGCCACTACACTACCTGCTGGCCTCGTCGTTAAATATATATTAAGTAGGGACATATGGTGCCTGTCTTCTATACTCTGTCTTGCTTAGCGTTAAATCTTCCATATTCGTTCACTTTCTATCAAATGTCTGTCTCGTTTTTTTATGGCTAAGTAGTCTGTACAGTGCATATGCCACAGTTTTTCAGTCCAGTCATCTGTTCTTTGACATTTGGGTTGATTCCATGTACTAGCAATTGTGAATAAGGCTGCAGTGAACACAGATATGCAGGTATTTTTCTGAGTGTGTTTTACTAGCCTTTGGGTAGATACCCAAGAGTGGAATTACTGCGTCCTATGTTGTATTTGTAGGTTTCTGAGGAACCTCCACATTGTTCTCGACAGTGGTTGACTGATTTACATTCCCACCAACATTCTCACCACAGCCTCGCCAGCACTTACCATTCTTTATTTTTTGATTTTAGCCATTCTGACTAAAATTCATGGTGGTTTTAGTTACATTTCCCATATGATAAGAAATGTTGACTTTCTTTTTTAACATGTTTTTTTCTTTTACTATCTTCCTTGAAGAGTTGTCTGTCAGCCCATTTGGCCATCTTTTAATTGGACTTTATTATTTATTTTGTGTGTGTGTGTGATTAAGCTGCTTGAGTTCCCCATATAGTGTTGATTATCAGTCCCTTATCTGAGACATAGTTTGAAAATATAGTCTTCCATTCTAAGGGTTGTCTCTTTACCCTAACTATTTTCTTCTGCAGAAGATGTTTAGCCTGATGTAGTCCCACTTAACCTATTTTCAGGATTGTCATCTGTGCTTCGAGGCGGGGGGGCTCACTTAGGAAGTCTTTGCCAACTCTGTCTTCAAGAGTTTCCCCTGTGTTTTCCACCGTAGTTTTATAGTTTGAGGTTTTATGTTTAGATCCTTGATCCATTGATTTTTGGTAATGGTGAGAGATAGGAGTCCAGTTTCATGTTTCTGCAGGTAGATATTGAGATATTCCAGCATTTGCTGACGATAACTCCAGAATTTGCTGAAGATATTCCAGCATTTCTTTTCCCCACCGGGTTGTCTTGTACCCTCTGTTGAAAATCACTTGGCTGTATGTTTTGGAGTTTATTATTTCTAGGTTCTCAATTCATTTTTTCTTTTTTGTTTTAGAGGTTTTTGCTATAGGGTGTGTACACTCGCCAGGCAGACAGAGAGAGACAGAAAGCGAGAAATCACCCCCCAGGGGGGATGGCCACGCTGCAATCCCCTCTCCTCCATTCTCCTCTCGGAATCTTGGGCACGCATGCACAGGCGCCCAGCATGAGTTTTAAGCCACTGGGTCCAGGACGCGAACCATGGTCTACTACGTGGGAGTTCAGCGACACAGCCATTACACTAACTGCTGGTCCCCTGGGTTCTCAATTCTGTTCCTTAGTCTACCTGCCTGTTTTGTGCCAGTACCATGGCGTTTTGATTATTACAGCTTTGTAATATATTGGGTCACATTTTTGCATAGAAAAAAAAAATCATGGGGACCAGAAGATGACATAATGGTTACATTGCTGGACTCCTGTGTAAGGTGACCGTGGTTCAAGTCTGGGACCCAGCGGCTTAAAACACATGCTGGGTGTGTACATGTGTGCCCAAGATCCTGAGAGGAGAATGGAAGAGGGATTACTGCATGGCCATTCCCCCGGGAGGTGATTTCTCACTTTGTCTCTCTGGCAAGTGCATGTACCCTATAGCAAAAATCTCACTTTAAAAATAAAAAAAGAGAGAGAGAGAGACCAGCAGATGGTGTAATGATTATGTCGCTGGACTCCCATGTAGTTGACCACAGTGCAAGTCCCAGACCTGACAGCTTAAAACTCAGGCCGGGCACCTGTGCATGTGTGCCCAAGATCCCAAGAGGAGAATGGAGAAGGGATTACTGTGTGGCCAACCCATCTCCCTGGAGGATGGGAGGTGATTTCTCACTTTCTATCTCTGTCTGGGAAGTACATGCGCTCTATAGCAAAAAGCTCTAGCTCAAAAAAAAAACCAAAACATACCTTTCCCAATGATGCAACATTTTGAGGTCAGAAAGTGAGATGCCTCATACTTTATTCTTTTTGCATGGTATTACTTTGGCAATATGGGGCCTTTTATGATTCCAAATAAATTTTACTGTTTTTTCTGTTGAAAAACAGTATGAATAACAGCACTGTAGTTTTACCAGAATTATATTGCATTTATAGATTAATTTGGGCCAGGCTGACATTTTGATTACATTTATTCTTCCAATCCAGAAACACAGGATCTTTCTACTTTTTTGTATTTTTTTTTCACTTTAAGTTTTTTCATAGTTTTTCTTGTAGAGGTTGGTTTATTCACATCTTATATTTTTTGTGGCTCCTGTAAATGGGATTGCTTTCTTCAGTTCTACCTCATTGTGTTCAGTGTCGGCATAGTAAAATGCTATCGCTTTCTGTATGTTGATTTTGTATCCTGCCACTTTATTTATTTATCACTTCCAGGAGGTTTTTGTAGATTCTTTTGGATTTTATATTTATAATCATCAAATGGGGATAATTTCACTTCCTTTTTTCTTATTTGAATGCCTTTTATTTTACTCTCTTGTCTCATTACATTGGCTAGGTTTTCCAGTACTATATTACGAAGGAGTAGAGAAAGTGAGCATCCTAGTCTTGTTCCAGTTTTTAGGGGAAAAGCTGAAAGTTTTGTATGTGAGCTATGGGTTTGTCATAGATGGCTTTTGTTGTGTGGTGAAATGCCCCTTTTATGCCAGTTTTATGACAGTCTTAATAATGAAGGGATTTTATATTTTATCAAGTACTTTTTCTGCATCAGTTGATATGATTGTTCTTCCATTTTAACCAGAGAGCAACAGACAGAAGAAAGGGAGAATGAGAAAGCAAACCACCAGGTTCAGGACTTGAACTGTGGTCAGCCATATGGGAGTCCAGTGCTTTATCCACCATGCCATCTACGGGCCCCCCATCATGTGGTTTTTAACTTCTGTTAATGTGATGTATTATGTTTATTTTGTGTGTTGAATCACCCTCGCATCCCTAGGATAAAGCCTACCTGGTCGTGGTATATAATCTTACTAATGGTTGGTAGATATGATTTAACGAGTACTGTATTGGGAATTTTTGCATCTGTATTCTCAGGGATAGTGATCTGTTGTTCTATTATAGAACTATATGAGGGTGATGGAGGCTTCACAGAATTAATTTGGGAGGGTTCCTTCCTTGTGGATCTTCAGAAACAGTTTGAAAATCGGGATTAGGTCTTTAAAAATTTCGTAGAATTCGGGGCCAGCAGGTGGCATGGTGGTTGAGCTATTGAACTCTGATATGACTAACCAGGGTTCAAGTCCTGGATCTGGCAGCTTGCTTTCCCACTTTTTCTCTCTCTTTCTCTCTGGTGAACACATGTGCCCTATGGGAAATTAAAAATAATAATAATGATGATCATGAAAGTAATAATTAAAAAAAAAAAGAAAAGCTTTCTAGAATTTGAAAGCGAAGCCATCAGGACCTGGGCTTTTCTTTTTAGGGAAACTATTTACTGATTCATTCTCATTGTTTGTTAAGGGTCTATTCAGCCTTTCTGTGTCTTCATGGTTCGAGCTTGGTACACTACACGCATCCAAAAATTTGCCCATCTCATCTAGATTTTCTTCTCTGTTGGCATATAATCGCTTATAGTATTCTCTCATGATCTGTTATGTCTGTTGGAATATCACCTGTTTTGTTGCTGATTTGGTTTATCTGGTTCCTTTCTCTATTCTTGAATAGCTGTGTGTCGATTTTGTTTATTTTCCCTAAGAACCAACTTTTGGTTTCATTTATTTCCTATATAGTTCTTTTATTCTCCATTTCATTTATTTCTGCTTGAATCTTTATTATTTATTTTCTCCTGATATTTTGGGGGTTTATTTTTGTTGCTTTTCCAGTTTCCTGAGATGTGTTATTAGGTTGTTTGCCACCTTTTCTTTTTTTTCCTTGAAGGCACTAATTGCTATGAGCTTCCATCTTGAACGACTGCTTTTGCTAGGTCCCTTATGTTATGGAAACTCGTGTGCTCATTATCTTTGGTTTCAATCCATCTTTTGATTTCAGTGTTAATTTCTTCAATCCTACTAAGTCATTGAGAAGTGGGTGGTTTAGTTTCCATGTGTTTGTGTATTTTCAAGGGTTTTTTCTGCAAGTTAATTTCAAGTTTAATTCCATTGTGGTCAGAGAGGATGCTGGATGTAGTTTCTATACCTTTGAATTTGTAAAAGCTTGTTTTGTGCCCTATCATGTGGTCAGTCTTTGAAAATGTCCCACACAGGAGTGAGAAAAACGTGTGTATTGTTATTGGGTGAAAAGTTCTATAGATGTCTGTCAGGTCCATTGGCTTTATGGTATTTAATCCTGTATCTCTGCTTATTTTTGCCTCGATGATGTAGAGGGGACAAGGGGGTGATGAGATCTCTGATGATTATTGTGTTGCAGTCTGTTTCTCCCACTAGATCAAGCAGTCTGTCTTTCATACATTTGGGTGCTCCAGTGTTGGATGCATAGATATTAAGTGTTATATCTTTAAGTGTTATCGCTTCTCGATGGATTAGCTCTTTCAGTACTACATAGTGTCCTTCTTTTTCCCTTCTTACAGTTGTTGTCTTAAAGTCTATTTTATCTGATACCAGTATCATGCCTCTAGCCTTTTTTTTTTTTTTTTTTTTGAGAGATTTTCACCGTAGGGTGCGTGCGCTTGCCAGACAGACAGAGAGAGACAGAGAGACAGAAAGCGAGAAATCACCCCCCAGGGGGGATGGTCACGCCGCAATCCCTTCTCCTCCATTCTCCTCTCGGGATCTTGGGCACGCACGCACATGCGCCCGGCATGATGACTCTAGCCTTTTGATTTCCATTTGCACACAGTATCTTTTTCCAGCCTTTCACTGTCAGTCTATGCGTCTTTATCCATGAGGTGTGTTTCTTGTAGGCAGTCTATAGAGGGCTCCCTTTTTTTTAAAATCCATTCAGCCAGTCTCTGTCTTTTAATTGGAGAATGTAATCCATTAACTTTCAGCATTGTTACTGATATTTGCAGACTTATCCCTGTCATTTTGTAAGCCATTTTTCTTGGTTTTCTGGTGTTCTTTCATTTTCATTTGTCTCTCTTTAGTTTTCCTTTCAGTATTTCTTGAAGAGCTGGTCTAGTGTTGGTAAATTCTTTCAAGTTTTGTTTATCTGAGAGTGATTTTATTTTATGGGAAGCCATTTGAAGGATAATCTTGCCAGGTATAGTAATGATTGGAATTTTCTTTTCTTTAGCGTTTTGAATGTATCTGCCCATTCCTTCCTTGCTTGCATTGTTTCAGTTGAGAGATCTGATGCTAGCTAGCCTAATGGGATAACCTTTGTAAGCCACTTGATGTTTTGCTCTTGCTGTTTTTTAGAATTTTGTCTTTGTCTTTTACCAGTCTGGCTATAATGTGCCAGTGTGGAGGATCTTGTGTTGATGGTATTTGGCGTCCTTTTTGTTTCCTATGTCTGGATGTCTGAATGTTTCTCTAGGTTTAGAAAGTTTTCTGTAAATATTTCATGGAATACATTTTCTTTTTTTTGCGGGGGGGAGAGGTTTCTGCTATAGGGCGTGTGTGTTAGCCAGAAAGACAGAGAGACAGAAAGCGAGAATTCACCCCCCAGGGGGATGGCCACACTGCAGTCCCTTCTCCTCCATTCTCTTCTTGAGATCTTGGGCATGAACACACACACACACACCCAGCATGAGTTGAAGTCACCAGGTCCGGGACTTGAACCATTGTCGACTACATGGAGTCCAGCAACAGAGCCATTACGCCAACTACTAGTCCCCATGGAATGCCTTTTCTATGCCCTTCTCAGATTCTTCACCTGCTGGAACACCAGTTATTCAAATACACAGGTGTTTAATGGTAGTTAGTATTTCCCAGTTGTCCTCGTTTGGGAGGGAGCGTTATTTTTTAATTCTTTTTGGTGATTTTGTGTAAGTCAAAGCCTTTGTCTTCTAGATCCGAGATCCTATTTTCTGCATGTTCTAATCTATTAACACTTCCAGGAGAGGTTTTGATTTCTCGTACTAGTTTTCACCACTAGAGGTTGTATTTGATTCTTTTTATGATGTCTATTTATGGAGTTCCCCCTTTAAGTCATGGGATGATTTTCTCCTCCCCTGGAGTTCATTGTCTGATTTCTCTTGCATCACATTTAGTTATAGTAAACATTCTGAATTCTTTTTCTGACATTTCAGTGATTTTTCTCTGCTTTTTCCATCGTTGGAGATGAGTTATTGTGTTCCTTTGTTGGGGAAGTATTTCCTGGTTTTCTCAGGGCTGAGGCTTTTCTGTGATTTTGTGATTTGGTGATATATTCACTTCTGGCTAATTCTTTTTTTTTCTTTTTTCTTTTTTTAAGAGGTTTTTGCTATAGGGTGCATGCACTCGCTGGAAAGACAGAGAGACAGAAAGCGAGAAATCACCCCCCAGGGGGTATGCCCACACTGCAATCCTTTCTCCTCCATTCTCCTCTCAGGATCTTGGGCACACATGCACACGTGCCCGGTGTGAGTTTAAGCCACCAGGTCCGGGACTCGAACCACGGTCGACTACATGGGAGTCCAGCGACATAGTCATTACGCTAACTGCTAGTCCCATGGCTAATTCTTTAGAGTAGGTTTCTATAGTTGTGTGCTTCCCTTTGTTGTGAATCTGTGCCAATTTCCTTCTTTTACTGTGGGTGGCAATGTGGTATCCACAGTGGGAGTCTCAGGTTTGGATTTATAGAAGAGATTCTCTTTCCTGGTGGGTTCTGTGAGGGAAGAGGATTCCTCCAGAGCCTCGCAGTGTTCAGATGCCTGGCTCCCTATATAACTAGACCTTTTTAGTCCCGTGTGTGGGGGACTGAGCAGCAAAGTGAGAATGTAGACTGACAACAAAAATCTCAGTGTGTGGATGGAATCAGCCCCACTTCCCGCATCCTAGTCTGGGCACGGGGCTTCAGGTGGAGAATGGCTGCTAAAAGGCCTGTTTTCCCCTCTGCTCCTTATAGCTCGGAAACTCCAGGATGTGTGTGGGGGGGGGGAGGTTACAGCTGAATCAGCCCTGCTTCCCACACCCTAGACTAGGCCTCTCCTACGTTTTCACCCTAGGGCAGAGAGAGAGAAAGGGAAAAATCACCTGCCAGGGAGAAGGCCACACCACAGTCCCTTCTCCATTTTCCTCTTGGGATTTTGGACATGCGCGAACACGCGCTTGGCGTGATTTTCAAGCCTCCAGGTCTGGGGACTAGAATTATGGTCAGCCGTATGGGAGTTGTGTTCATTGCCTTGCAAAAGACTGCCCATGGAACTGCATTTCTGCATGTGTCTAAAGGTCACGTGTTTGCTCAGAATGGCCACTCCCTACACAGCACCTCGACCACCACACCACCTGCTGGCCCTATTAGTTGTTTTTTTGTTTTGTTTTTTCAACATTTGTTAACTGCCTGTCAGCTTAATTGGGTTTTCCTCAGAAACCTAGTTCTTTGTATTCTGTACATGATTCTGAGAAGGGGGCCATAACCGTCACTAGATTGCACCAGACCTGGGCAAGTAAGTGCTCAATAGTTGCTTCTCGGCTGAATTAAAGAATATGTGAACTAAGTCAGAGTGCAGTTGGGGAACTGGCCTGCAAGTTCCTCTCTTCCTGTGTGTCAAGGTCTCTGTGTAGGAGCTCCCAGCTGTACAGACCTGCCAAGTGAGGCTCAGTGATGACCAGTGGTAGAGAAGTCATATTTGCTGTGACTCCATACTTTCTAGAGCTCTTCTGAAATTCTTTGGCAGTTCTGGCCTACGATGGAAGTCATTGAGTTCTGTCCAAAATAGTACCTGGTAGAAGCAGCCTGGGTTCCCCTGGCCCATCTGAGCAGCCTCTGACCCTTCCCCTTACAGACACGAGGGTCCCGTGTGGCAGGTGGCCTGGGCCCACCCCATGTATGGCAATATCCTGGCATCGTGCTCCTACGACCGGAAAGTCATCATCTGGAAGGAGGAGAATGGCACCTGGGAGAAGACGCACGAGCATGCGGGACATGACTCCTCAGGTACGCTGAGTGTGGCTGTGGGGGTAAGCCAGGGCCCCCGGGCAAGGAAGGCCTCCATCGTAGCCAAAGCCCCGGCCCCCTCCCCTGGTCTCTCCACAGCTGAGTTAAGGCCCTAGGACTCGAGGACAGTGCAGAGCAGACTGAGAAAGGGAACCCAGTGAGTGTTCCTTAAGATTTATTCATTTTAAGTTTTTGCTCAGATTCTCGTCCTCCTTAGTGTTTTTACTATCACCCTTGGTTTATGAAATGATGATAGCAGCAGCTGATAAGTTTCTCTAATGTCTTTGATCGACAAACCCGAGGCTCCCCCCAGTGGTCCCTTCAGAGGCTTTAGAGAGTGAGTAAAACCATCCATGTGGGCCGTGCTCCCTGCTCACTGTGCATCCCTCCTGCAGTCAACTCCGTGTGCTGGGCCCCCCATGACTGCGGCCTGATCCTGGCCTGTGGGAGCTCAGACGGGGCCATCTCCCTGCTGACCTACACCGGGGAAGGCCAGTGGGAAGTGAAGAAGATCAACAACGCGCACACTGTAAGTTCGGGCCCCGCCTTCTCCGTGGAGACCGGCTCTGCTACCTTGCCACGTGTCTGCCTGCTCCTTGTGGGGGGGGGGGGGCCCGCTGGCCGGTGGCGTTGGAG